ATTTAAATTAATTATTTCATTGAGCAGATGATATAAATAACCAACAAACTTGTAGTCAAGCTGAAAAAAAATAAAAACAGATTTTTACGTTATGCACAAACTGTGTGTCACACAGTGGAAATTTGTGTTTTTATGTTTTCTCAGTCTGTGTGTTGGTACATAGTGTTGATTTTATTTTCATGAAAGAAAATAAAAGACAAGAGACAAGAGGAGCGACGCACGAAAGGTGAGCAGGAGATAAAGAAACGCGTGTAAGCCCGCACATGTGTTGGAGGAACTGCTGCCTGACTGTTGGGGGCCACGAGTCGTTCGGCGATCCAGTCCCAGTGGCAGGAACAACAACAGTGGGTGGCGATGGCCGCAATTCACAGAAGGGCAGGGATGCCCCTCTGCCTGCATCTGGCTGTGCTACGAGGGAGGCCGTGTTCAGGTGTGGAGTGGGGCGGGACTGCAGTGACGCGCTGTCAGGAGGAGACATGTCTGCGACAGGAGCCCCCTCCTTGTTTTTCTGGCCGGCGTGGTTTCCATCCCAAAGAGAAATTCCTGTCCTGTTTCAGAAAAGGAACATGCTGGACTGTGGGATTATGGGACCGTGGGAGCGAATTTTAAAACTGTGTGTTTAACTCTGTGCCCTGAGCGCTGACTCACTCACTCCCCTCCCTCTTGTATGTGAACGGACTTGGAGGTGAACATTTAGGTCCACCAGCTTTAGCAGCCACATGTGCATTCACAGGAACACTTGTGGTTTAGGTTCAAGGTTCCTAAGCCAAATGTTTCCTCCTGCAAATATTTATTCAAGTTGGTGCATCATGTCCTGTCATCTTATCTTTGCACAATCTTGACTTTTTCCTCTCCCTGGGTGAGGGTGGATGTCTTTGGTATTCATTTATGTTCTTTACTTCTTTCACATCTTCATTTGATCCGGCTGCTTTTTCTATACTTTATGTTCTAAGTTCTACTTAGAACATAAGGTAGAACTTAAGTTTTACTGACGTTCTAAGAAGTCATTTTCTAACATCAAGAGATATATAATGAAATCTTCTCTGCCACTCTGAAGAAAAACAATAACTTTAAATAGGCCCAAACTCAGTGCTGAAAATGTTGGGAAGCTGTGGAAAATGCAAATAAAAACGGTTGCAACTCTCACAAACTCATAATTTACTCAGAGCAAAACACAGAATCAGACATTTAAACTGAAATATTTTATTATTTAATGAAAAATATAAGATCAATTTGAATCTGTAGATACATCTCAAAAGCTGCGATGGTGGTAACCCACCACTTGACAAAAAAGGGCTCCTAAAAACAAATAGCTGGATGAAGATTTTGCAATAATAACAACCCGGTTCTAGACAGGCATACATGAGGGGGCAGACGGAAATGTAAAGGAGGCAAATGGTGGCAACAGAGACAGGAAAGGGGTGGGGTGGTGGTGGGGTGCTCTGAATAACTGTTTTTGTCATGTAATCGGATTGTCAGGCATCTACCCTAAGAACTGACCAATGTCATTGAGGCATGCAACCCCCCCCCGACCATGTCAAGGGGGCTAAGAAACTGAAAAACACTTCTCATTATTGCCAACATACTAAAAAGTGTAAGCCAAGTTGTAAAAATAAAGGTCAATTCACCAAGTCTTGAAAAATAAAACTGAAAAACAGGATAAAAAATTACAATAAAGAATAAAGTAAAATATTCATCCAGATCTTTAGAACCAACAAAATAACATTTATCCTAGGATAGCCCAATAATAATAAAAATGTAGCCAATATTTACAAAGCTAAAAAGAGTTGGCATAGGATTTAAAAACAAAAACAAAAAAAATATGTCTTTTCCTATTTTCCTTTTCCAATTCTCGAATTCATTTGTAGAACACAGCAGATTTAGAACAGAACATTTGAACTTTTTTTCTTCTTTTTTCTTGTCTTGTTTTAAACGTGTTTGTTTTGCAAGATACTGAACTTTCTGTTTGCAACTGAACAGATTCAGTCTCCTCAATCTACTCTACAACAACAGTCTCCTGCTTGCCTTTCCAAAAACATTTTGCAGATTCATCCCAATCCATTTATAATCACATAAGGCTGGATATTAAGAACTTTTATCCGACCTCTCTCTCTCTAGACCTCACGTCGCCTGACAAGGTGTATAACTTGTCTGTGGTCACTTGCGATGTTTCTGGAGCTGCATCACTTGATGTTCTTTCAGGCGGATTCGTTAAATAACGGCATGGTGTCTCTGTTTTCTACAGGGTGGAAAAATGTTTTTGTCAGAAAACAAAGAATTGTGTCTGTACAGAGCAAACTTATTATATTTAAATTGGAGTGAAAACCAAAATGAACTGTTTAACTGAATGAAAATAGACAAGACTTGAAAAATGAAAATCCAAGAAATGAACATAAAATAAAGATACACTGGAAATGGTTCGACTGTTTAACTTGAGCCTGAGGAGTCATTTACTGAGCTGTCTACAGGACAGTGGGTGTTTTGTGATCTTCTAAAGTTGTATTTTGAACTGTGTACTTCTGGACCCTGTTACAGGAAGCATGCTGAGTTAAGTACATGGATGACTAGAAGAGGAAAAGATTCATGAGAGGAGCTCTGATAACATGATTCACCATGACAACATGTAAAAAAACAGAGCCTCCATTTTAATAGACTGAGCAATGTGAGCATGTGACACTGTGTCAGTTAGAGGGAATAAAAGAGTCTTTTTAATCATGGTCATCATCATCATCATCGTCATGAGATATTAATATCCAACCTCAGGTGATTTTTTTATTAAATAAAAAACTATTGAAAAACTATTTCATATTTTAAATAATTATTCTGTAAGAACTTAAACATAACACCTCTGATTTTTAAGAGCATTTTAATATTGCTGTCATTACTGGATTAACCTCCTAGGTGGACGCCAGATTTTGGGATGTCTAGACCAAAATACAAAATTTTACTCCACAAGGGCCTGATATCCACTTACGAGAATGTTATACTGACACTGTTCTATCGAAATTTAAAGCAAATGTCCTCATATGTTGATATAGGGAAAAAAGAAATATCTGGAAATTCTTTGTTTTTACATTCATCAGGTCCCAAACAGCCCAAATAGCAAAGAGAATTTAAAAATGCATGCCATATAAGAGTTCGGGTCTTAGGAGGTTAAAATGTTTTGTACCCAGTTTATTCCATTTACAATCTGATCTCATTTCTGCCTCACTGACGGCTGTCTTACACCATCTCTGCTATAGAGATGTTTTACTGAGTTACTGTTAATGGTCAGACTTCAACTGTAGTAACTGTTTCAGGTGTAGCTGAAGAAAAATACAAAAAGTTTTTAATTGATGTAAAGTTTAATGAGTTAAGGCGCACATGTGATGAGACGTGTCTGAGCTTTTATAGAACTATCTACATGTCAGTCACTCAATTTAAGATATTTCAGTATAATTTTAGAAGGATGAGACATTTTGTCTAAATCTGAGACTTTTATCATATTTGGATCCATCCTGCAGTGCAAGTGGACTCTGACCATGTAAGAGCACCTGAGCTGCCATTTCAGGGAATGAGCAACTCCTGCACATATAAGGTTTCCACTGTTTTCAATCCACAGCCTAGTTTGTAGTAAAAAAAAATTGTGCTCGTTTTAAAAATGTTAACATAACATTATGATGATGATGATGATGATGATGATGATGATGATGATGATGATGATGATGATGATGATGAATGATGATATAGAAGTGAGGACAGTGTCAACAACTGGAAAATATTTACACAGTTAAAAAAATCCTAACAGTTCCAAAATGTTCTTGCTATTTAACCTTTTCTATATTTATATTAGTATGGTTGTTATGCTGTCATGTCTCCAAAATCAAGTGTTGCAAAGGACCCAGAATTCTCTCTGTTCTCAGAAAGATTAATTTAGGATGAATCATTAATTTATTATAACGTCAGATTATTATATCTGTAGATAAAAATTTGTTGTAGACTCTCGTTACGAAGGAATTATTTGCCTGGGTCCAAACTACCCTGAATGCTGTGAATATGAAGAGTAAGGAAGGGTAAACCAGAGACCGTTGCAGTGATAAACAGTAAATGTTTTCAGTGCAGAGAAACTGCCTCACAGTCTGTCGTCTGCATTACTGTCGACAGAGTTGTTAAAAAGATGGAGACCATAAATTTTATTTTACAGATTTTATTCTGATTCCAACAGACTGATCATCACATCAGTCATCATAAGTAAAACAAAAGGAGAAATAAGAGGACTGGGAGGTGCTAAATACAGATTTGCTGCACTCTGAGCTTTGACAGCAACTTTATAAATGAAAACATAAATGGTGCAGCAGGAGGGCAGGAGACAAACAACGTGTGAAAGTTTTATACAGTAACACATTGTGGCCAATTTCTAAAGTGATTAAAATTAACTCCAACCCTCACCAGTGCAATATTAAAAATCTCATTATGAGATATAAGATATTTCAACCCTGTGAAAGAGATTATTATTGTTGTTATCATTTTAGTTTTTAAAGTAAATGGCTAAACTGAGTCACAGCTCCTGACAAAATTTAGACATTTAGAGTCTGTCGTGTCTTTATGTAAAAGAGGCTTTGCATGGAGCTGGGCCAAAGCAAGCCCTCAATGTGAGACAGTCTCAGGGAAAACAAGAAAATGCATAGTGGTAACTATGCAGACCACCATCCTCACATCAGTGACAGTTTTTATTATTATCACTGTAAAAGTGAAGTTAGGTGATGTTAAGGGAGCTGTACGGTGAATTAAGGAGTGTTGGTGCGTTTACCTTGTGCCACTGCTTCAAGTTCATAGTTTTGTGCCTGCAAAAGATTTTTATCGATTAGCAAGAAAGTTAACTCTGATAGAAAAAGTAAAAAACAGAATCTCTGTGCACTAATTGTTCACTCTTCATTGTATTTCTGCACAGTGTTAGTAGTTAGAGCAAACATAGATCATATTTGCAACCAGGCAGGAAACACAGAGTGCTCTAATGATGGTCTCAAGCCCAGATTAATCAGAGTTACATCAGGATAGCATAGCAATCTGTGTCTTTTTGGTTTCATAGTTAACTAAACAACAACAACACATGTTAATGCTATTAATAATGAGTAGAGTTGGATTCATGGCGACCTGGATGACTGTGCAGGTCAGAATGCAACAAAGAAATAGTTTCATTAATTTAGACTGACAGAGTCTGGCAGCTGTAACATCTGTATATAACAGAGCCTTTTACCTGCTGATGTGCTGCTGCTTGATGATGCTGTCCCCCTCTGCTGGAGCTCCCCTCACTGATCCAGTTGATCTGCTGGTTGGTTGCTTCTGGTTTTTGATGTTTTGCATTACTGATCATTTGTTGAGCAACGTTAAAACAGCCGTCCCAGTCTTTCCTTTTTATGTTGCTCGTGATTTCTTTAGTCAGAGTTTCATTTGCTTCTTTCCTCAAAAGCTCCTCCAGAACTTTTTTCTCTTCTTCCAAAATCAGTTTGTAGTAAAAAGTTTTCTTGTTGCACCAACTGTATTTTTTTTAAACCATTTTCTCCACCCACTCCAAGTCATGAAGAAAGCTACAACAGTCATGCTGAGGAGCAGAGAGTAACCAGCAAGCTGAAAAAGAAGCAACAAACATGCAAAACATAACAGCATTAATGTGTGTTTGCTGTAAATTTGTAAATTAAAAGTAGAATAAGAGCACATATATATACAAGAAGAACCTTTGACTTGATTTGCGCTTTAGTTTTTTGAGCTTCTTCTTCAGCTGTGTGGCTCCCAGGTTCACAGAACAGCTTACTCGTGTTATTTAAGACCATACCAGCTGGAAATACAGTACAAACGAGCTATTTATTTCTTTTTTTCTTATGTCATTTTTATTTTATTTACGTGCTTTTTTCTTTTTATTTTTTCTGAAATATCTAATTAGGCGTTTTTTTAGTTTTGGAATTTCTTATTATTACTTTTTATTTTTTTTGATTTAATTTTATATTATTTTTTAGATAGTTAATTGTTTTATTTTTATTTTTTTTCTTTATTTATCCACAGAAGGCTGATTAGAAACGCTCTGATAACGCGCTTGAGTACAAGGCATAAAAACGTGGATGGATGTTTCGCGGTGCTCCGAAATGTCTGGTCTATCAGGAGCATCAGGAAAAATATTAAAAAAACAGGCACGACGACGATTTCATTGCATTCAAAAGTTCTGCAAGCGCACATCATACTCCGCAGAAAGAAAGTCACGCCGACCATCCCGATGACTGTCCCGGGGGTACCGATTTTTTCAGTACGAACATATTGCAGGAGTTTTTTAAACATCTTGAGCAGTTCGGTGCCTGCTGAGGCTGCAGCTTCTGACCTGTAAATTACAGACAAGAAAAGAAATATTTCCTAGCTTTTCACACCAAGTATCACAGATCTCTTTGAAATTCAGCTTAATATCTCAGTCCTATAGCAGCTGTGAAATGTGATGTGAGAATGTCCTTCAGTCCAACTGACGATAAGAACCCTCTTCTCCCACCCTCACATGAACGCTGCTCCCTCAGGCAGCAGGACGCTAACGCAACGTGACGTCATGAGAAGGCGTTTATACAGCATTCAGTTCAAAACCATTTAAACTGTGGTGTCAATGAATTTCACGCTTTTCGTTCAGCATCTAAGGTGATTTAATCCACATAAATTTTATGCTGTGAAGAAATCACGTGTCACAACGAACTTTTTATTAATAACGAAAAATCCCAGAAGACAGAAGTGTGACAGATGGCAGAGAGACATGTTATGATGCATGGTTTAGGGCAGGAGGCAGAGCTGGAGTTGACAGATATATTTTAACTTAATGTTTGCACTGACTTTAAGTACATATGCTAGAAAGACTTCGTTCATTTGAAATGCTTGGACATTTGGCTAACAACAGCAGCAAGTCGATCTATAAGTGCTCTTTGGTTTGTCAGCGTTTTACACGGAATCTATCCCCAACACCACAGGAAGACAAATGTTTCCTGTCTTTCATACCAACTATCACCGGATGATCTCTAATTTCCTGCTTCTAATTAGGAAAGACTGAGCTCAGTCTGGAAGATTTTTAGGACAATAACCTAGGTTATTGTCCTAAAAATCTTCCAGGTCAACAGTTTCCTTCAGGCCCTTTATTTTAAAAGATAAAGACCCTAAAATAATGGTGTAGGACAGAAACGTGGTTTCGAACTAGATACTTACTTCAGTAAGTAAAATGACAGTATGTGAAAGGACTGTGATGCAGCAGCGACCTCGAGTGGCTGCTGTCTGAATTACAGGTTCTCCAAGTTCCTCCTTCTCTTACAGCTGCTTTTAAAGTGTGATTACAACCTTTCACTTTTTAGGTTTAAATGCCATGAATAAGAATTTTCCTAAACATTTTATTTTTGCCACAATATTTGATCCATTTGATATCACAAAATGCTAAATGCAAAAAAGGGAAGCAAAACATCAACATAGCCTAAAACAATTCCACAAAAAAGAAAGCGGATGCAGATGGAAAAATCTCACTGTGTTCAAGCAAAATAAAATGATGAAAACTGTGCACAACAAAGCAAAATAAATACATGTAAATAAAAGTGATGGCTTTGCATGTGCACATCAAGGAAAATAAACTGAAGGCAAACATCCTGGTACTTGTGCTGAAGGTCCCTAAAAAGTTCTTAAATGTTTCAGTACAAAAAAACAAGTTTTTTTTTACAGCACTTTCTTGATTTGTTTTTTACACATTTCTCACACTTAAATGTTTCAGATTATTAAACAGATTTTAATATTAGACAAAGGAAATACAAAATGCAGTTTTTAAATGATGGGTTTTTTGTAAAGGGGAAAAAGTTATCTAAAGCTAACAGAATGTTCATTGGGCAGCGCCAGAGGAGGCTGACAGAAACAGCTCACTCCTGTCACACTTATTATGCTTTCCCCCTATTTCAGTAGCTGTTGGGGTCTGAGGTCTCTACCAGAGAAGCGGTTTCACCATCTCCCCATGTTTTTAAGAGGTTGATAAAACTGAGTGGCTCCTCCCATGTCTGACTGTGCCACTTCATAGTCGGCATAGCCCACTAGCCATGTGACCACAAAGGGCATCTCGATGCATGCTCAATCATCCATGTAAGTAAATCCCATAAATTCATACAACTCTTGCAGTGTGGCCCTTTAACCATCCACAAAGCTGCCCCTCGATACCAGCTGCAGGCTCACTGTTACCGTTTGGGCTTTGCCCTATAAGAGGGGCAGCAGCTGCAATACCCAATCCTCTGGAAGCCATCGTTGCCTGAAACTCCTCTATGAAAGACTAGGTAACGTCCCCCTGTCCCATCTTGTTAGCACCACTGCTGAAGCAGGAGGGAGTGAACAATGATCCCAGACTGAGTGATCATGTTTTCGAGCACCTGCATCTGCTGCTCAATCATGGCCATCAAAATATAGACACATGAGAAGGTGGCTGTAGCTCAGGTGGCAGAGCAGGTCAGCCACTAATCAGATGGTCGGTGGTTTGATTCCAGCCAAATATCCTTGGGCAAGATACTAACCCCATGTTTGCCTACTGGTGGTGGTCAGAGGGCCCAGTGCTGCCAGTGTCCGGCAGCCTCGCCTCTGTCAGTGCGCCCCAGGGCAGCTGTGACTACAATGTAGCTGCCATCACCAGTGTGTGAATGACTGAATGTAGTGTAAAGCGCTTTGGGGTCCTCAGGGACTGAGTAAAGGGCTATACAAACGCATTTATATCAGGGACCATTTGGAGCCAGAAAGTGGCTGAGTTCTTACAAACTTCTCTTTCTAATCACCATCTTTCTTCTTCGTTTTACTATCTCCTCATGTGTAACTTACTAACTCTCAACTGTCAACACTGTAAAGCCCCAGTGTTTACCACCCGGGATGCACAGAGTTGATTGACTCCAAACGGTTTATCCATTTATTAGAATGTTTTGATTTTAAACACACATTCCAAAGGGACATCCTCGATTAGATGTTTTTTCCACAGAGTTTTCAATGTCACAGTTGCAATGTTCAAGATGTGACTGTCTCTGATCATTACTGCATATTTTCAGAAGTATTTTGTTCATCTGTCAAAAAAAAAAAAATACAAACCAAATTATCAACAAGTATCATGTCAGTGATAGCAACGTGTACATTATCATTATGGTCATAATGTGAGGAAATGATGGAGAACTTCTCTAACACAATTTCCCAGATTATTGACCACATTTATCCTGTCAAACTGTAATGTATGCTGCCCACCAAAAGCTCCCCGGAGAAACAATTCAAAGGTAAAGATGCCAAAAAGAATCTACAGGAGCGATGAAAGAATTTATTAGTCCTTTATCTTTCCAGGTAAAAATTTCCCTTGAGGTTAAAATCTCATTTCCAAGAGAGACCTGGCATCATGGTCATGGCAATAAATTACATTTTGAAAACTACAAAAATGCACTTTACTGCTACAACAATCAAATCAAATCAGCCAGCCAATCATCTCCCAGCTAATCAACTGGTCTAATTCTGCTTTTTATTTTCATTCATTGATGAACTGAATCCCTCCAAAACCATACCAACTGAATTTCTTTCAGTAAATAATTGTGATGAATTTGGATCTTTCTACAACAACAACAACATTTCTAATATTAGAGGTAATATCCACATTCTGTGGAGCTGCGTATTTATACATGCATGTGGTGCTGCTCTCTCTCCCACTCTTTTTCTCTCTCCCTTTGCTCTCTTGAGGACTCAGATGCTGCTCATTATCCCCACCTGGGCTCACTCAATAACCTGTATGGATTTTATGTAGTGCAGGCAGGGGTGGGCAACTCCAGGCCTCGAGGGCCAGTGTCCTGCAGGTTTTAGATGTGTCCTTGATCCAGCACCGCTCATTCAAATGGCTGAATGACTTCCTCAACATGTCCTGAAGTTCTCCAGAGGCCTGGTAACGAACTGATCATTTCATTCAGGTGTGTTGACCCAGGGTAATCTCTAAAACCTGCAGGACACTGGCCTTCGACACCTATAAAGCACAGTTCCTGTGATTTGGTGCTGTACAAATTGAATTGAATTGAATTTAACCAATTCAGACATTATAAAGGCTAGGTTAGGCTTCCGAACAATCTGAAACCCATCTTCACAGGTGTTACTGTGGAGATGGGAGACAAGCCCTGCACAATTCCAATCAAAGCTACTTATTACACCAGCCAGCCAGCAATTGTGATCGATACTTATTTTGAAGAAAAATAATGTTAACATTCGTGTTGCTCACAATAAGTCAATTTAAAAAGAAAAACATTAGGAAATGATGCTGTGTTTACTGTAGTAACCACGCAGGTTTACCGCCGTTCGTGGAGTCAGTCGACTTTCCTTCTGTGCACAGCCCTCAACTTTGGTTGTGTTTAGCTGATTTTTGAACTTTCCAGGTGTTCGTGTCACCAAGTCTGTTCTTCGTACTATCAAGCTAGAACCTGGCATAGTTGTTCTAGCTTGATAATGTTCTGAACCATGAACAACCTTTCCTGTTGTTTATTCTGCAATGAATGCTGCATCCTGTAACACTGGCATGAAGTTTTCCTGTGAGTCTGGTGTTTTGGTTAAAGTGTTTCTGAGATATTCAAACCAGAAGCATAAGGGAGAATTTAAAAAAAGGAAAAGCGAAAAACTGATTTCCCACTAAAAATGTTAAGAGATCACCTGTAATTATTGGATTTGTTTTCTTAATATGTTTTAACAGTATAAATATATTCCTTATGGCAGCACAGTATGTGAGTAATGGATCATAGTGAGGATGACATCACCTGATACACCAAATAAA